TCATTTTGTAGTAAAAGCATTTATTAGATAATGAGAACTAGTTAACCAATTTTGAAGGAATATATCTTTAAGTCTTTGTTTAACTGTACAGACAAAGTGAGAATGAGATTCTACAAATTGTTCATGCCAGGCATTGTAAACCGATAGATGATAATAACTGTTTTATGTCTGTTACTAATTACGTTTTCCATGGCTATCATATAGTATCATCATTTCATAACATTTTCTTGGCAATCTGTGGCAGGGGCACTGTTAATAATTTCAACCAATATCTAATAATTTTTACATTTGATTCTATGTACGTGGATATCTTCCACATTCTCCGTAGACCATACAAGTTGACGTGGCTGTTTTACGCTTAGAGGCTGTACATACAAATTGACTTTTCTATGACATCAAAGTTGTAAAACCCCATACTTCTGCACCATATAACAAAATTGGGTATATTTTGGCGTCAAATATTTTGAAAAAAAAGACATGAATAAGTCGCCTAAAATATGTATATATTTTATTATACCTATTAATATTTTCTTTGCTTGTATAGCTGCCTGTGGTGTGTGTAGTGCCATGAAAGATGATTGGTAAAATGCACGCCTAAGTGTTTGCATACAAGAAGTGGTTGTTTCAGTCTATTTCCCTTGAATAACCATTTTTCATTGTGGATAAAGCTTACCTCTCTCTTTTTAAAACGCCTAAGCGAGGATTCATAGTTTGTTCCTGTTTATTGGATCAACCTTGGAAAAATTTACAAATAAGACATAGAATTTTGTCCCTTGATTAAGGATATTTCTGAATAATAGAATGTAAAACAAATATGTTATCAAGAGTAGTGTATCCCTTCTTAAAGCCAGTTTGTGATTCTGTTGTCTTTTTCTAGAGTATCTGCCCATTTAACCAACCTCCTATTTATGGTAGATGTAAATATTTTGCCAAATATGAATAATAACGTTATGCCCCTATAATTTTCAGGATTGTTTACGTCTCCGTTCTTATGTATAGCAACTATTATGCCAGTGGACCAGGATTTGGGGAAGTATCCTTTTTTCAAGATGATATTTAATATCAGTTCTAAGAGTGGCAATGGTAAAATCTGTATAGAGTTTAAAAATTCAGAGATGGTAGAGTCTATACCAGAAGATTTATTAAGCTTTTAAGTTTGTGATACTATGAAGTAGTTCCCCTTAGTAATTGGTGAGTCAAGAATATATTCTACGAAGCTTGGACTAAAATCAGAACAATCAGAATTGTTCACTTCTGTAATCAGACTGGTCACGTCATGCACTGTCATTATCCGAGTGGGAGAACAGGTCACTGATATAATTGTGCCAATCATCAATTTGTATATTATTTCACTTGAATGCATGTGTCCGTTTATTTGTTTCAGCATAGACCAGAATGTTTTGAATCATTTATACAATTCTCTAATTTTTGTTGTTTCACCTTAAAATATTCATTTCGCTTTGTCTACAAAGTGGTGGTATGCATTCCTACTGTGGTGGTATTTTTCTAGAGTGTCTGTGTCTTTCGATTTCCTAAATTTGTTTAAATATCTACATCTTTTCTTTTTTAAGTTTCCTGCATTCAGTATCGTGCCATGGATTTTTCATATTATTGTCTACTGGTGTGATTTTTATTTTTTCATGTCGCTAGCGGCTATGCAAAAGAGCTTCAGTTATCAAATCAAAATCAGTAAATGCTGAATCCAGAGACTCACTAAGTAGTCCTTGTACATTGGTCTGAAAGAATATTTTTTCTAAAGTGGTCTAATTTATCCTGTTCCCAAATAAATCTAAAGGATTTCTTTCATTGTATTGGGGATGCATGGCAAGCGTTTGCTGTGCATGGCGAATACACTAAACGCCAAAAAGAAACGCTACCCTCCTTCCGTAATGACGGATGTACCTATTTTCAGCTGGCGTTGTGATGCGTTTACGTCCATTTCTTGGTCTGTCTACGGTGACCCCAGTCTGTCTGTAGCCCTGACCGTGACACGGTGGCATCCGGGGCGTTGGCACCAGCATTGTATGTCGACCCCATCGGCACCATCTTAATGGCTCTTTATCTCTCTTCAACTGTTAATCGTTGCACATTTTCAAGTGCTTGTGTATCATATCATGCATTCTATGCCTCTTTATACCCTATAGACTCATTCTAAACGTGAAATAGATGCAAATACTGCTTGAATATTGCTGTGTTTGGCGACTAATATTGTTATATGTAAACAGCGAAAATGGAAAAATGTTACTTTGCAAGCAGAAACTGTTAGCACAAATTAATTTTAGATGTTCCTAAACACTTTTCTTCACAATATCGAAGACATGTTTTACTTGCTTTCACTAATGCAAATCAGCAGAAAATGTTTTTAAAGACTGAAATCATAGGAATGCATAATTTATAATTTTACACTCTACAACAGTAACTTCGTAAAATGGTAACTTTAAATGGTTTTATCTTTGTCTCAAAGCAGAATTTTATTTCAATCCTTCCTTTTGGACATCTAAATCACTGTTATTTGTTTATTTCGGCATGTGACGAAAATAGGACTGTTCAACTCTTCAGAAAAAGATGCATTTTACCTAAATATTAATGCATTTGTGAATTTCTTTTCGTGATTTGCATAAAGCTGTGTTGTTGTTAAGTTTTCTTGTCAAGTAATACCTTCTAACTAATCTTTGATTGTTTTAAGTAATTCATATAGGTAGGGGGTAACGTTTCATGTTATGTTTAGTGTATGTTTCGATGGGAGCACCGTATCCGTTTCAACACTGTATACCTTTTCTCCCACACGAAGCAGACACTGCGAACTACTTTAACACCGATAACACAGCTGCTTTGTGGACCCAGAGAAACAAACAGGTCATGACGTGAACATGAACAAAATTAACGAAATAACCATTTTATCATTTGTTTTACCAGATCAGTTGCAATAAGTCTCTGATGATCCAAATTGCGTCTGTGGCGTACCTGTCAGTTAACATCATGTTACGAATGGAACCTCAAACTACATTTTGTGTTCAGTCTTAATGTTTATCATTTCACGAAGCCCATCCTGTTGCATACAGGTGCGTCTACATCGGTGCTGGTGTTGGAGGAGGTGTTGTAGTTGTCATTGTCGTTGTCGCCAGCGTTCTGTGTGTGCGAAGAAAGAGGGACCATCCTGTACATAACGGTAATGGAATAGATCCTCCCAATGCGTACATTATGTGAAGCCCATTTCGGCGTACACCGCCATGACATTGCTGGAATATTGATAACTGCGGCGTAAAACCTTATGCACTCACTCACATTATCAGCATATCACTGCGCGTGTATGTATGATGCAAGTTTACAATCTTTTTCAAAACAACACCAAAATCTAAATCCAGGCATACCCAAAAATATACCAGTATATCCTTTCACTTTGTTTTCTTCAATTGTAGGAGTGCTAGGCAATAGCGGAGACGACGACACCGCAAATCACCTGGAGACAGGTTCCACCAGCTATGCGTGAGGGCACTTTTGAATGAAAACTAACATTCATATTTCACAATATCTGAAATTGTCTCTTGGAGATTGGTGGGGTAGCCTTCTTTGTTAAAGCGTTAGCCTCGTCACACACCGGCTAGCCGGTTCTGATTCCCCGACTGGCAATAATAATGGAAGCCCTATTTTTGTGTTAGCCCAAGCTATTGCTGCCAATATTTGCTAAAAGCGTGACATAAAATCCTTAATCACACACTCGCTTTAATGTATTTGAGTTTTGGGGTATGCTGGATATTTATGTATTGTAGAATAAGGATATTCTGTTGCACCAGTCAGAAATGAAAATGGGTTTTAACCCCAGAGATTTGCCATAGTAATTAATCAACACCATGCTAGCTCCTGGGTATATAAATAACACCGGTAGCAAAGCCCTGCTCGTCTTCGCAGAAGAAGATGCAGCTCGCCTGTTGGAACTCAGGAATTATTTAAATAGAATCATAACAACATCGTAACTGTTACAAATATTAACCCAAATGCTTTTGTGACCTATATGCCAGTGCTCATTTGCACAAGACATTCAATGCAACTCAATATTGTGATCGTCTTGCCTTCAGCGTACATCACATAGGTATTCTCCCTTCATCTCGAGTGTTAACTACCTGCGGGAGATTGACCTGTCATAAATTGTAACTATGTGATGTGAATATTAACGAATTGCTAGATTTTGAATTTAGTGCTATGACATTTTCTGTTTTAAAGATAATGTACTTGCTGAATATATGCGTTTTTAAAATAAAACTCATTTGGACTTTGTACTTAAAATGATTGCCGATTCAGACTTGATGTCGTCCTTTCTGTAAGCGAATAATGCCGATGTGACGTAAAATAACTCAATCAATCAACAATCAATCAATCAATCTCCCCATTGGAATGAATACCGTATGTCGTATCATGTATGAATTATTATTGAAACGTCCATGTTTCAAGGACCCTTGACATGAACGATGGTCGAAACCAACACCATGATACTAGGTGAGGAGGCGAATTTCAATATATGCTTTTCATTACGACGTTTTACATCATAGAATTCGAGGACTACAATTGTAATTTGTTCAGTCTCGTGTCTTTATTGGCAGAAAGGAACAGTTGGGAGCCCACGGGGTAAAGCCTTAAAGAGACTTCATTCATTCGCATGGGTAGAATTAATGAAGCCAGTAATCTAGTGCTATCCCGCCGTTTTATTGATCAGATATTGCTAAGCGTAGGCTGTACTGCAAACACATTAATTTATTGCCAGTTTGGAACCATTGGAGCACAGGACACGTTAATAAGCTTAGACTTTGTTTGTTCCAGTGGATAATGATATATATGAACGTTCAAGTGACGTGACGCCAATTTCCGTAAAGCCTCCTGAAAATGTTCCGGTCACAACAGGTGGGAATTTTTGAGAGTAACTTTCGTTTGACGTAATTTTTGAGGAAACTCCTTTCTGAAGAGATACCTAATACTGTAAAACCACTTTCAATGCTAAATTAAGCCTTTGTGTGAGGTGTGTCCTGTTGTGAAAATTCCCCAGTTCCTTGTGATTCCCGGGGATTGGTCCTGCAGATCACTCTGTCAAACGCACGTACTAAGGTTGCCCTCTGTCCCAGACCAAAGATAAGCTGGTATATTGCTGGGAGTTAAACAACATCACTCACTAACTGTTGTCATATTACCTTTATCAAAATGCCAAGCTTGTTTAAATAACAAACTAAGATTTCCTATAATAAGCAATATTTTTCAGGACACGAGAACGCCAATGTAATGGACGGTATCAATGGGCAGACTGTTCTACTACCACTAGACGAACTTCCGTGTTTTCACAATAAAAGTGGATCAAATGTTACTTTTTCTTATTACTCTCCAACTTTCGTGTTGTGATTGATTGTCATGAAACACGAACTGTCATCGATATATCGCAAATGGTTATATCGCAAATGGAACCTGACCTTATATTGTCACTCCTGAATAATGTCTATACACATCTAGAGACACCTAAGTCATACATCAGATCCTCTTCGTTGACTTTTCATCTGCGTTCAACACTATCCAGCCACATATCATGATACATAAACTGTTAGACATGGGCGTTAACTCGTACCTCATCAAGGGATCGAAAACCTTTCTTGTGGGCGGTGAAAGTTAACGGGCTGTATCGAGTAAACGGACCACCAACACCTGGTGCACCACGAGCTGCTGTGTAATATCTCCTGTTCTTTTCACCCTCTACACTAATGATTGTGCAAGCCTCGAATTCAACCTGTTCAACTGTAAAGTTCGCAGATGATGCAGCAATTGTCGGCAAACTGAACGACACTGATTCTGAAGAACTGTATAAAGAGGACATTAATCATTTTACGACTTGGTGTGCAGAAAACCACTTACTCTTTAAATGTCACAAAAACAAAGGAACTGATAATTGACTTTCGGAGTAAACCCACAGAACTGCTTCCAGTACTAATCAACGGTGAATGTGTTGAGACAGTGTCGGAGTATAAGTATCTGGGAACCTTCATTGACTCTAAGCTGAACTGGAACTCTAACACTGAAGCCCCATACAAAAACGTGTCAACAACGTCTTCATCTTCATGCGTAAACTGAGATCTTTTAATCGTTAACCCATCTGTGATGTCATCCTTTTATGTAGCATTTATTCAGAGTATTTTAACATTTTCCTTCCATTGTTGGTACAATGGGTCTCTCTCAGTTCATCTCAAATCTAAAATAGACAAAATTGTTAACTCTGCAAGTAACATCGCTGGAGTCAGATTTGAATGTTTATAATCAATATATGAGCGGCAAATCGTGAACCAAGCTGTCAAATCATATATCTGACCGTACTCACTACACTTACATTCGGAATACAATCTTCTCCCTTCAGGCCGCCGCTACAAAGTTCCACTTGTGAAAACTAAGAGAGCTCGTACATCCTTTATTCCAAGTACCATATCTCTCTTAAACAAATGTGAAGATACCTAAATCAAAGAATTTATGTAAATATGTTTGGTATCTCTCTAATGTAATCAGTAGCTCTGCTGATGTAACACAAATTCCTGAAAAGGCATTAAAATTATTCTATTCTATTCTATTCTATTCTATTCTATTCTATTCTATTCTATTCTATTCTATTCTATTCTATTCTATTCTATTCTATTCTATTCTATTCTATTCTATTCTATTCTATATATACATGAATTACATGTTTGGCAATATCACTAGACAGAAGTGCCGGAAGTACAACACAAAACCGTCCACATCCCAGCTGCTTATCAATCGGCGGTTATCCTCTTGTTTATACTACTGGGTTCAGCAGCAAGGAGCTGTACCGTACATTACACATATTCCGTACATGAAGCATTCTCCACTCCATCGGATCAACGTACTCACTACATCACACTTTTACGCTTCGTCGTCACCACTTGCCCGATAAGGGTCACTCTTGTTTGTAATACTGACGTTAAAATGTAGAATTGATCCACGATATATCTTATTCTAACTTCAAGGAAAGCGTATTGATATATTGGATCCCCTTTCCTAAACTCTTGTGCGTGATATTTCCATGTGTAAGATATTCATTGTAGCATAAATATATATGATGTGTGAATATTATCGTACCAAAATTAACTGGTTAAATCAGACTGAGCACACACACAAATTTAACTTCGGTGGAGATGCTAAAAGTAGGTGGTGATGAGAAAAAGTTTACATCTGTTGGCACGCTGTGGTCTGATGCGTGAAGGCAACTTAATGTCACCTTGCAGCAAGTACTCAGACATACAAAACTGAATGCGTTCAAAGTTCACCATTTGATCACTGTTTCTCCCTGTGTTGACACGTGCAGGTTGAACCCTATATAGATAAATGATGAGCCAGGTAAATCATACTTTTCACATTATTGCCTGACGATACTGGATACCTGAAAGGCCTTCCTGTAACATGTACAGTACATCACATGATCAGCTGCCATTCAATCCTGCTACAGAACTTGGTAAGGAGGACAGAGACTCACTTCGACGCCAGGCAGTAGACGCAGCGTCGTAATGATGAATAGTCTTCTAAAGGAAAATTTACAGTTTGGTTCATTTTGTAGGCAACTGAAGGTAAAAATAAAGTGTCTACTTCATTAGTTGTTTACATTCGTATATTTCGTGATACCCCGTCACAGACGGTTTTATAATGCTAGGAACAATATCTACGGGACAGCCCAAATTTATAGAATTATTATTTTCAGAAACGAAGTAGTGGAATTCTACCTGCACAATAAGCTCAATATCTGGTCGATATCCCGCGAGCATCAAAATGGATAGGGCATCATCTGTGTATACTGGACAGCACCACAACAAGAGAGCAACTGATGAAGTGCTGTTTCACATCAACAGATTTCCTGACTTTTTATTATATGATATCCAAAAAGTCTGTTGTCAGTGGTGGTGTTCTTAATCGTCTTTTTTTATCGAAAAAAGTGATACGCTTATGATAAGTTGAAACTTAAGTAAACATATTGGACGATAAAACAGTCGCATCACTGCGGCGACACGAGGAAGGGGCCGACAGCATGTTGAGATTGTTCATTGATTGTATGCATCAGTGAACAAAACCACAGTTTAAGTATTGTACAACAACACGCCTAAACAATCCCCACTGGTCTTCAAAAACGCTGTCGTATCTGCATCAGTGCACATGCCTACCATGCAGTAAGGTATTGTGAACCTATTTGCTTGTTCGCATTAAGTTTCACGTTCACGTTCAGGTGATGATTGTTTCAACAGGATCACATTTCATTGTGTAAGGTCCTAAATACCTCAGGGGACAAGCTGTAACACACACTGTCTGTAAAGTGGGTGATGGAGGATGTCCGGCCTGGAACAGAAACGTCACTGTCTTCATATAATGTGTTACTAGACACGGATCAAGTCGCAACTGGATCAGTCGAGTCTGTGCAAATAGTATAATATCCTGACAACATCGTAACGCTTGTCGTGCAGTAGAAGGTCAATAGTGACATGCGTTGGTGTACAGTGTCGTGGACTATAACGACAGGGTGATTATCGTCAACATGGATAACATCTCCCACATAGTTGTATGATGATGTATAGATGGAAGAATGAATGACCACGGGTGGAGGATTAGCCCATCGGTGTTCTCTGTGACGAAGGAGAGTTCTCAGTTGAGAACGGGTTTATGAAACGCTCCCTGATCCTACAGCTGACGCTGCATCAGCGGAGTGGACGCAGTCACCATTGTAGTTTCCAGTGTTTGTGTGGCTTTCATCCATTAAAGATACATCGTCATTCAAGTGGAAGAGATGGAGTATATCCGGGTCCTGTTTCTGCTCTACGGATGTATTCCCCGTACACAGGGTGAGTCACGCGTCTTGGTGGTGTAGAGATTTCTATAATTCCTTGTCGTCATCACATGCGTCCGGATCCCTAAATGCATCCAACAAAACAACCGACACGCCACTAATTTATTGTAGTCGTGTTAACTTTGTCATGATTCAATATGAAATGTTCTCCATTTATGCACAATGCACAACACAATGACTAGATATTTCCCTGCATATATAGGAAACCAGTGACCAGACGTTTACCTAGACTAGTAGGGAGAACATTGAAATGATACAAATAACCAGCTCAGGTATAGATTGTTGTACAAGTGAGGGTTTACTGGTCACAAACAGGATGTTAGTTTTATATTTCGACACTAAAGACCTTGGCATTAACGCTTTTCACAAGAGTTGCGTCTCTTTGACCATTTCGACATTTGTGGTGCTTTGGACTGCTCTGAAAGTCCACATGTCCCCCCTGAGTCATGGGCCTTAAGTGAGGGAGTGAGTGAGTGAATGTTAATTGAAACCGCGTCAGTAATTCTGTATCTATTCGCGGGCTGGATATAAAAATATTTTCCTCTGGAAATGCGCATAAAATAAAACAGTCAATTATCACAGTAAACAGTAAACAATGACGTTCAGAATTTAAAATCTACATCTAATCGTATAGTTTAATTTATTTCAGATAAGCTTTGCAAAATAAGAAAAAGGTCGTGGGCCCTGAACGCTTTTTCGTGGTAATATAACATAGCACATGCAAATGCATGGTTGCCATCCAAAAGTGATACGAGACTATTAAGCTTCTAGTGCCATACAGGCAGCTTGGGTTATCCGGGTAATAATAATCAGATTGTGATTGTCAGCGCTTGGGCATTGCCCTCGTGTGGTGGAAGTCAGCGCTATACAAATTCTCTAATGATATTTTACAGAAAAGAATATTGTTATTTGAAATATGGAGGAAGAAAACAGTATTTTTAATTGAACTCAAACGTCATTGTTATTTTGCCAATATTTTTCATCCGTAATTTCTGACTTTTAACCTTACCCTTTAGTGGAAGTTATCCTTTCAGATTAAAACCGCACGGGGTGCAAGATATATTGCGGAGGTTAAAAAGTAGTGAATCGCTGTGGTGAATTATGAACGATCCACCAAAGGCGACTCTCATAAAGGAGATATTTAGGAATGTTGTTGAGTACAGAATAAGAAACATTCCAGCAACAATTTTATAATCAGCAGGCCAAGAATACTTATCGATAGAGTTCCAACCAGAAGTACACGTAAATAGCAGTTTACATGTAACGATTGCGAATACGTTTTGCGGGATATTGCTTGAGCCTACATCACTGCATTTTATTATTATTATTAGTGAGGGAGTATAGTTTTTAGCAATATTTCACCTATCTGTCTGCGGGGTTTCCATTGGTATATTGTGCCTGTGTGGGGATCTAACTCAAACTAGTAAACGGTTTGGATGCTTGGATACCCAACCCCCAAGTTTTAAGAATAACTGTTGTCTCGTTTAACCCAGAAAGGATAGTCATATCTATCAAACACGTGGTTGATGGCATTGCATGTATTGAACTCTGATATAAGTCTTGTGGTTAAACGCATTGAGTTTTATATCTCACTATTCGACGAACACACGTGCAGAGTAAAGAATGTGCAAACATGCGTCTCTTAGGCGTTTCGTAATCTCATTTGTTTCATCAAAGAAGTAAACGGCTGAAATACAGGAGTAGATCAGCGCCTTCGACAGTGGTAACCCTATGTATGGTGCTTGGGAGGCTTGGTACCAGGGGTCCGGCATCTCCTCGGACTGAACTCCTCGATGGCGAGCAAGCCAAACTTACCAGTGTAGTGTGTACAAATACAGGGCTCCAAACAAGGGCCGTATCGGCGTATGTACGGATAGAAAATATGCACGATACGGTAGGAAATAATTTAGAAAACGTCGCAGATACGCACCATAGCAATGGTGTATGGTCTTAAAATCATTTTACAGACGTATTTATCTGAAAAGTATTGTTTTATTGTTTATTGACCTGTTTACACAAGAGCAGCAATGTTGTGGTGCATATATACAACAAAACACAAGATTACTGATACGCCATTATTTTCCATTCAGTACTCTAAATGTACTCCAGTACTCCTATATTGAAAAATAAGGAGTACGTACTCCTGATGTTGAAAATTTATCTGAAGCCCTGAAATAGTTCTGAACATGTCGCCATTTTGAAGAAAGGCCCATGGTAGAACTGACCTTCAAGACTGAATGTATTATTGTATCATGTGTTTAACAGTATATAAATACCCTGATCAAACACAGTTCTTCCTACTTCTGACCTGCATAACACGTGAAACAATCGTAACACGAAACCATACAGCTATAAAAGATATTAATATTTGATATTGTTTGTTATATTTTACTTCTATTATTTCCATTTATAATAACTTTCACAGTATAAATAATTTAAAAACATAACTCATCTTTATATATTTAATCGAACAAAATGTATAACCGTTAAGAGTGAAATTTGGTCAGAATAACGTATTAACTGTATAATTTCAATGCTATTTCAAATGATTTCCGTCGCAGGGTCGGTTGAGTTGACGGAATATCAAACAGGATCCGCTTACACCTTGATGTGCCGTAGCCTCCCCGGCAGCCAGACCATCAACTGGTTCAGGAATAACGAGCTGGTGATACGGACACGTGATGGTTCAAGGGGCCGGTGTGGACTAGAGCACAACCCCAGTGACACTTATACTACCTACTTGTCAGGGCGTGTCAGTGTGAGCTGTGATGCTGCCCAACACAATGTGTCCCTCACGACAACTTCTCCCACAAACAGTGGTTCTGTATGGCAGTGTGAGAACACTAGTCGAGACAAGAGCAACCGTCTAACTATAGGTGAGTACGTGTAATCATTTGTTTCAGCTCTACACCTGCAGACTGTAAATAATCGATTGTAACAGGCAGGCCAGTGATTAACATTATGAGCACAGATCTACGACGCTCGGGTACAATAACGTGCCATCAACCCATGCACCAAACGCACAGACTGTTGGGAACACCATTTGGAGTTATGAGAGACTATCTGTTAAAACCATTTACAATAGAAATATAACTTGTCAACATACAATATGATACGTGAAGACACATAAGGATTTAAACTCAAAGATTAATGACATGTATCCAACATGCATGCACGTGCCACGTTCCGTGACGTCAGTGGGTTCGTCCTTGAGACGTTGTTGCAGGTGCATTCTGGGAAAGAGAAACAAGTAGTAGAGGGAATGATTGTACGGGACCAGGTCCAACAAAGCCTCTGCAAAGCCTTATTCCCCAAATAAGGCTTTGGTCGGACCCCAGCTCTTGCTACCATTACCCCTACTATAAAAAGTTTGGGACGCTAGCGGGATACGAACGCACCTCTTAGCCGCGCCACTTAACCGACTGAGCCACCGGGGACATTGCTGAAAGTATGTTGGTATCCTGGGATTGTATTATCTGGGCTGCGTCTAACGTGCCGCTATGCCATGTTTACCTCGACGAAACAGTTTAATGTGAATCGCCTATGATCTCTTTGGTGTTTGTAATAAAGGCTTGCTGGGCTTTTTCACCTTGTTCTATGTACTTTTTTTCTCATCCTCGCTTATAGCAGACTTACGAGACTTGGATCGAATCTCTTGTTTCATTCTATGATATTTTGCGAGTTCAGAGAGGACTAAACGAAACTCCTCCTCTGAGATCTTACTGTCAGTGAGTGCGGTGGAAATAAGATCGCTTATGGTGTTAAGCTTTGCTTCAGCTAGAACCCGATCTCATTATGCTTCAATGCTTTACGATGCAGTCTGCGGGATACAAGCTTAAGCACCACCCCAACACCCTGTCACCCCAGCTGTTATTTCGAGCCCCATCACTATAGGTGCGGCCACGATGGTAGCTAACAACCCAACACCTGCCACCCTAGGCCCATGCTGGCTACCATAAGGGTAGTATCAGTCCGTCCACGGCATTGAAAGCTCTATGGTACTTCTTATATAGTGCTTTCCGGCTTGTCATGATCTTGTTCTAGTTGGCGTTTTACATCGCATAACTGCCTCAAAGCGGAACCGTCTACGGTTTCCAGGGTCTTCGCTACTTCCTCTACGACTGGGTACAGCCCATCCTGTGTGCCTATAATATATATTACAAAAGATATTTTAATTGGGTTTCAGTTAATAGCCTATCTAGTGTTCTGGTACTAGTTCAGGGATATAGCTCAATCCCATAATATATTTTAATTGGGTTGTATTTAACCTTCGATTAATGTACTTAAAGCCGATAATACTTAGATTAACGTGTGTGTAAAAAAGCGGGGTCTTAGCTCTACGGCCATTAAAGAGACGAACCCCATCAAGGGTTGGTACAGGGTCGTTTCCCGATACCTTAATAATACAACAACGTTGGTTATTACACCTGGCTTCCCAACCTATCATCATATCATCTATAATGTTAATATAACTCGCAGTCAAACTTATATCTCCGAGATAGACGTCTATGATGAATGTGAAGTTTTCCGCGACATTTCTAAAGACCTCTTGGTGATCGAGTAATTTTATCTCTGTCTTTACCCTCCCACTGGAAGCTAACATGTTGCCCGAGTGGTCTGGTATTGGTACGACTTGTACACTAGATTCCGGAACGAATGATCCTATAATCATGCCGTTGTTCCTAATCTCGGAGATAGTATTATTTTGTTTCAGGGAGATATAAGGTGCGGTGAGAGTTAAGTTTAGTAACCATTCAGGCTCTTTAAAATCTGATAACGACACCCTCCTATACACGTTGTCTTTCAAGTGCAGGATGTATAAGGTGTCTTCCTCACCAGGCTGGTCGAATCCCTCCGTGTCCCCTAGGTCGTTAAGCGTGGTGTTGGGACGATGACTGGTCATTGCTATAATACTATTACGATATAATTTCCAACTGGTTTTCTGATAATAGTTCAGGGGTGCACTTCACCCCCATGAAGTGTATGTTGTCGGGTAGGAAGATCTTGGTTAGTGATATCGTGTCTTCCACGATCACGGTGACACCCTGCAGACTGGTTTTGGAGTCGACACCCACCCGCACGTAAACGTTGCAAACGTGATACTGTTGTTGTTTCCCCCACCGGAGTTTGACCCCCCTTCACGATTTCGACATCATTCCGCGATGGTTCCCCTAGGTAGACTTGGATGACCAGTGTTGAGTTCGCCGGTAGACTCTCTAGGATCTTGACCACGCCTTCGAATTCAGACACCAACTGCAATACCACGTTTTGCATCCGGGTTTACCGATAGCATGTGGGCTGCCATACTGGCGAGTGGGCTGATGACTACGCTACGTCTCTGAGTCGGGATGTAAGCCACGAGCAGGGTTCCGTTGTTCACGACTTTGTTTAGGTGGTTGTCTTTATTATCCGTGAACACGTAGGGGGAGCCGAGCCTAATATTGAGAAACCAGTCGGCTTTATCGGGTAACAACACCCACTTATCATCATCGGTGAAGACGAGTGTATATGGCTTATTTTTGGTGATAGCCGTCACGTTGCTCTCAACATCGGTTAAGTCGAACAGTTTGCCTCCGAACGATGGGTATATTATCCAGTTATCGCCGGTGTTGACAAGGGTGTACTTAGTGTTGACTGCCGCTCTTGTGGTATCTACTATATCACTTAGGTTGCTAGTACCACCGGAGGGGACTTCAACGCGTTTGTAAATGCTGTTTTTCAGTTGCAAGGCGTACAATTTACCATCTACTCCGGGGTCGTCGAATCCGCGTGTGTCCCCGAGGTCGGAGATCCCCACATTGATGCATTTTTTTCAACTTCATTCCGGGACCTTGTGCGCTGGTCATTTTATGTGCAGCGTTATGCTAAGGTATCCTATATTCACGGGATTATGATTTATATCTAACACCGATATTATCAGCTCAGGGATGTTGCCCTGGGTTAACCTCTTATACTGCCGAGGTGAAAACGATTCAGTTCTACCGTCGTTGTATTTCTCCGTTTTCACCGGTACGGCTCTCAGTATAGTGGAAGGGTGACCCCCCTTGAATGTTGTCAGTTGTGCTAACCTGGCTGAGATGAATGCACAGCTCTCGATACGGTACTAGGTCGGGTAACTTAGTGCCTGTGGTGGTAGTCGTTGGTTTTATCTCATCAGGCTGCATACCGAGTGTCCTCGCCAATGGTCGGCCAAGTCTCAAGGAGTTTCTTCCGTTGTTGATTAACACCACTGTGCCGTTTGAGTCGTTCATCTTGAGTTCGGCTCCTAGGGGTTTGAAGACCTCGTCGCTTAGAGAACACGCTGTAGTAGCCGGCACTTATCTGGTTGCGAGCACCACCTACGAACAGTTTATTGTTGCTAGCGTTGATGTTAGTCCATCGCGGTAGGTAGGTTATATCGCACAGTGCTACTTCGAGTTGACCCGACGTGTTATTATCGATCGCGTGCGTCAGCTGAACGCGCCTCACCGCTCGTTATTCCTGGAAGTGTTATGTACATGTTAGAGTATATATGCTCATTATATAATAGTTTTAAAATGTACTCCCCTGGAGTGTTTTACCCTAAACTGGACGTAGATTTCCCCACATGAAGATCGTGGTCGCTGCGGGTTGTATTTCGACGCCCAGTTCATAGATGTGTTTGATAAGTATAAGTTTTCGGTGACTAACTCTAAGGTAGTTCACGCTTGGTTCAACAAACCGATGCAGTTCTGGCAGAATCAACTCAACTTCGCCGTGTGGTGCTACAGCGGGGTGTGGTGTGACATTGACCGACACTTTCGGCGTGGATCGCTGAGTCAGTCTGTGTTCACGTTTCCGCGTGTACTACCAGGTCAGGCGTATCCTCAAAGAGATCAGCGCCCGCTCCCACAGGAAAAGGCGTGGAATGCAGTAAACAACCAATACGATAGACGGGCCTACGAACGTATTTGCAACGAATTCGAACTAAACACGAAGACGGATTGGCGTTTGCCGGGACCGAACCATGGGTTGGGTATCCCCATCGTTCACAATATGCCCCTCGTGGAAGCCAGCGAGAAGTTGAAAGAATGGGATTACGAGTCGTATCATCACCTCACAACCAACGAGTGGGATGACCGTTACATGGCTTTCGACAACAGTAAGGATTACAGAGTCTGGAGGTTTGAGCAGGGGGCAGCGGATGACTGGAAAAAGTTCATGCTGGACACATCGAAAGGGTTTACTCGTGCTGGGGTAATCAGGTTAAACGACTCGATTCGAACGTACGTGTGGGCGCTGTTGGGTGCGCAGACGCAAACGCGTTCAATATCCTTGGTAAAGGGGACTGCTTACGACGCTCAGAAACAGTTCGTTGTCAACGTTGAGGATGCTATCAATGCTCCAGTTGATCTCCCGAGTGCCATCAAACGCTACCAAAACGTGTTGGAATATGCCAGGTCGAAAGTCGACTACGTCTTCGACGTGGGGTTGTACATGGCTCCGAGCGATATGCAACTGAGAGTAAAAAAAGTGGTGGGCTACAACAACGAAATAGTCATAGCCACGGCGGGTCAAAAGTTGGGCGTCAACCTCGATGTCAACGTCCCCCACGTCCCACCACCCACGACCGGTGAAACGGGTATAGTAGCGCCACCCCCGGAGCCTAGGGTTCAACACACACCCCCTGTGGGGTCACCCACTGTGGGTTCACAGCACATCGATCGTAAAACAGCCCTGGTGGTTGGTGGGGTAGCTTTGGGGCTTATTTGGTTAAAAAATTCCTTAGCCGCTACGTACACCAGACCCACCACGGCGACGATGGCTGCCCACAGGTTTTGACTGAGCCACGTGGCAGTTTTAGCCAGAGCGCCCAACAACCACGAGACGATGCTACCCAGGATGCCAGGCAGGGCTT